GACCCTGGACAGACAGCAATACAACTGAAATGTTCCCAAGTTCCAGAGACGTAGCAAGGAGATCGGTAAAATAATCCATGTGACATCAGGGGTTCAAACGTAATTTTACGAAGCTACGAGAATACTTTTTGTGCGCAAAAGAAAAAAAAAACAACTTTATTCAACAATTCGTCTCCTCCGCGTCACCCTGTAGCGCCATTTTGGAGAGTAAGATAATTAATTTGTGTTGCGAAGATGAACGAAGGTCTTACAGGTTTGAAACGACATGAGGGTGAGTAATTAATGACAGAATTTTGGGTGAACTAACCCTTTAAAATAATTTTTTAGGCATTGTAGGCATGTGCTTGAAAAACATAAATGCTTGCCTGTATATTTTTATGTAAGTGAAAGTGCCTGTCTAGACAGCATCATTAGAACATCACAGGTAAATTAAAATGTTCAAATTGAACATGTTTAGGCATCATAGGTGTGTTCAAATTCAATGCTTTTGAATGAAACATTTGTATGAAACATATCAGGAATATTTTAATGTTTTAGTCTAACATTTTAGCCATCATAGACATATTTAAATGTTTAAATCTAAAGTAAGTTTGAACATTCAAATTAAATGTTTTTAAAATGTAATGTTTTTTAAATGATTTTTTATGTATCATATGCATTATCTGATTGCATACTTTTAAATCAAACCTGTTTGGGCATTATTGCAATACAATACAAAAAAGTCTCATTAAGACGTGTTTACACTTGGCATCTTTTTTGAAGCTGCCAGGGTCTGTTTTACATTGTAATCCTATGGACCTTTTTTGAAAACCATGTTTTCAAAAAAGTCCTGAGCGCTTTTTTAAATGCCACCGCCGGCGTCTTTTTCTGCAGCTCAGAGCGTCTTTTCAAGTTGAAAAAATTTTAACTTTTCTGAAAAAAACGCCCTATGTCAAGCGCCTTTTTGACAGCTGACCAATGACAAGCGAGTAGCGAGACCTGTCGTTTCCATAACAAGAACAAGAAAAAATGGAGAAGGTGCCGGTAGATAAACTGATCGTACTAGTTTCGGAGCACACAGAGTTATATGATATGAGCACAAAATATTTAGCATAATAATAATGTTTTAATGTTTAGTCTAAAATATGCCACAAACCGTGCATCATCTAACCGGAGCTCCTGAGCCAATTTTCCTCTTTCTCGACATTTTTAATACAGCTACGCCCTCGACTGCTATAACAGAAACGCTGCCAACTTTTTTTTCCACTAAAAAAAACCGCCCTTGTCAACTTTTTCTTGTCAAAAAAGATGCCAAGTGTGAACATAGCCTTAGTTAACTTTAATTAATGCATTAATATTAACTAACAGTATTTATTAATCTTTGTTAACGTTAGTTACTAAAAATACAACTCTTCATTGTTAGTTCATGTTAGCTCAGGTCTATTAAATAATATACACATACAACTTAATAATTTATTAGTAAATTTAGGAATTAACATTAACTAAGATTAATAAATGTGACCCTGGACCACAAAAGCAGTCATAAGTAGCACGTGTAAATTCGTAGCAATAGTCAAAAATATTATGTATTTGTCAAAATTATAGATTTTTCTTTTATGTCTTTTAAGTGAAGATCATGTTCCATGAAGATATTTTGTCAATTTCCTACCATAAATATATAAAAAATTTATTATCATTAGTAATATGCATTGCTAAGAACTTCATTTGGACAACTTTAAAGGCGATTTTCTCAATATTTCGATTTTTTTACACCCTCAGATTCCAGATTTTCAAATAGTTGTATCTCGGCCAAATATTGTCCTATCCTAACAAACCATACATCAATGGAAAGCTTATTTCAGATGTAAGATTTCAGAAAAGATGTATAAATTCTTACATTCAGATGTATAAATCTCAATTTCAAAAAAATTACCCTTATTACTGGTTTTGTGGTCCAGAGTCACAAATTCTTTCTAAGAATCATGTGTTTGGTTGTTCAGATTAAATGCTTTCAGATTGAATGTTTGAATCAAATATTTTCGGGTTTCATAGGTACGCCTGAATGTTTGAATTGAACACATTTTGAATCAAACCTTTAAATCAGACATTTTCACGTTCAAATCGTGTATGAAATTCTAGTGAATCAAGCACAGTTAGACTGAATGTTCAAACTGTCTCGGTAGGCAGCTCGCTAGATTTTAAGTTTTGAAACACAGCATATGTCTTTGTGGATTCACACAGCGTGTGAAACTTCCTCGTGCGTGGCAAGAGTCAGATCAGCCTGAGATCAGACAGAGCGGAGTGTGACGTTAATGTCATCTACGGGCTGCCGTTTCCAGGCACCGCTGCACTGCTTCAAATCTATCCTCATACAAATGTCTTAAATAAAAAGAACACTTGTCAGAGGCTGTGTATGTCTGTTTTTATGATGATTGATGTGTGTGAAATATGGTATTACTGCAGAGCCCGTCGATGATTTTCAGTGCTGTTTATTACAGGCTTGTGGCGGCTCTGACCGATCAATACTGAGTCAGAGGAAACCGTGACGACAGGACTCCATACCTCTCTGTCTCTCATCCATTCTCTCACTTCTTACAGCCTCTGTCCATCATTTCTTCTGTGAAACTTTCTCTTTTCAATCCTCCTTTGCTTTACGGCCCTTTTCTTTTCCTCTCTCGGTTTCTTATCATCTCTCCGCCCTTAAATTCCTCTCTCTTTCTTGTTGCTCTGCATTTACATGCTGCAGTCACTCTAGCCCCGTACCGCTGCAGTAATTGGAAAGCCGTCACTGAGCTCGATGTTTAGAGCGAGGGATAGATGGAGAGAGAGAGAGATAGCTGGAAAAAGTGTGTGAATATGCATGTGTGTTCGGACTGACTGATTTTGACAGTAAAGGTTTAATGGTAACACTTTACAATAAGGTTCCATTTGTTAGCATTATTTAACATAAACTAACAATAAAAAATACTTATTAAGCATTTATTAATCTTAGCTTGATTCTAACATTTACTAATACATTATGAAATCAAAAGTTGTGTCTATTATTGTTATTTAATGGACCTGAGCTAACATGGACTAACAATGAACAGTTGTATTTGTGTTAACTAACGTTAACAAAGATTAATAAATACTGTAACAGTGTACTGCGCATTGTTAGTTAATGTTAGTTAATGCATTAAATATAGTTAACAAATGGAACCTTATGGTAAAGTGTTACCGGTTTAAGAATTTCCTTACTCATGCTGGAAGATATCAACTTCCTTTTGAGAATCAAAACAGATGAGTCAGTTCGCTAAACAGTTGCACCAGTTTTTGCATTCCAAAATTTAGCACAAAAACCTACTAAATTTTCCACCTGACCACCTGCAATCCAGTTTAACTACTGTATAAGCTGGGGGGAAAAAAACAATATATATATATACAGTGGGTACGGAAAGTATTCAGACCCCCTTAAATTTTTCACTCTTTGTTATATTGCAGCCATTTGCTAAAATCATTTAAGTTAATTTTTTTTCCTCATTAATGTACACACAGCACCCCATATTGACAGAAAAACACAGAATTGTTGACATTTTTGCAGATATATTAAAAAAGAAAAACTGAAATATAACATGGTCCTAAGTATTCAGTGTGTGTGTGTGTGTGTGTGTGTGTGTGTTTGACATGTAATAGAGTTATTCCCAATAAAGTCTGCCAGATTATCGGAGTATGCTGCATTCTCCACAAATTTAATTCAGTGCATGTTTGTGTGATTTACCTCATTTGCATAACACCTTTAGTGAATCGGGGACTAAAACAGCACAAAATAACAATGCATAAACAAGTGTGATTCATTCTCAGTGAATCCAACCAATTTGAGCAGAATTCCAATAGGGAGAAGTTAACATCCTTTGGACACACAAACCTGTTAAAGCCCTTTAAACCTCATGTGTCTTGAGTGTGTGTTTTGCTGTAATTCTAGTTTTGTTCCTGACTGGTCTAAAAACAAGAATCATATTGGGATGTTGCCTTTTCGCTGGCACGTGTGTGTGTGGAATGAATGGGTGAACGATTTGCGATGAATGAGAGAGACAGGGTTATAGCCACTCTGCCTGCAGCTGTATTAACATTCAGAAGCTGTCTTACTGAAAGAGAGAGAGAGAGACTGGGAGGGCAGAGAGACAGGGGAGGGAGGGAGAGGAGGACTTGGAGGGCAGAGAGAGGGGGATAGGAGGGGCTGTTGATTACAGCACTAGGAGAATGTGTGTGGGTGTGTGTGTGTTTGTGGGTGCAGGGCTGTTTTAGGGGGGTGAGGTGAGTCGTGCTCAACCCCCCCACACACTAATCAATCCGGACCCCTGGCGTTGTCGTCGACGACCATCGGCGTACGGATAGAATGTTCAGGGCGGGAGCTCGCCAGCCCAGCCACGGGAAAACGGTGCAGCCGCGTCACAGAGTGTGTGCGCTTGCGAGTGTGTGTGTGAGAGCCACGGGGAGTGAACATGCCCCACTCGCGGCGAGTGCAGCCCGAGCGCTCGCCGCTGTTCGCGACAGGCAGCCGTTAGCGGGAGCGAGGGGGAGGGTGGGGAGTGCTCAGAGGGAAGAGAGGTGGAAGAAAGGAGGAGAGAGGAGCAGAGGAGGAGAAGAGGGATAGGAAGAGAGGGAGTGAGCCGCTTTCACCTGACGGCCCTGGCCGGTTCGGGAATATCGAGGAGACCCGCGCATGCACGCACGCTGCCGCCTTCTCGCGGGACCATGTCGTTGACCACCGGATTTGGCTACCAGTTGCCGGGCATCACCACGGTAACCTATGTTTTTGTTTACAGCCCAGGGACAGTCCAGCAGGACCCCAGCCCTCCTCCCGCGGGGCCCTTGCACACACTCTCAGGAGCCCGGGGCCCCAAACGGAAACTCTACAGCGCCGTGCCGGGGCGCACCTTCATCGTGGTCAAACCGTACTCACCGCAGGGAGAGGGAGAGATCCAGCTGAACCGTGGAGAGAGGGTCAAAGGTGAGTGCCCTTTCCCTTCTATTCGCTTTGCACCTGACAGCTCTCAATCATCTGGAAAAGGGGCGGGGTTAGGCCAAGTTTGCTCTGTGATGCAACAGTCATGGTTTGTGCATTGCAATGTGTCTCTCTTGCTATTACAGTTGATTTGTTGGTTCTTTATCATTTTTATCGGGCTGTCCGGGAAGACTTGTGACTTTATTGCCAAAAAAAATTGCTTTTCAAATAATCGTGTATTGGACCGGAAAAAAACAACTGATAATTGATAACTGTTATCAACTGATAAGGCTGTTTGGATTATTTGAGTTCAACTCAGTTTATTTAGGAACTAAAACAGGGTAATATTGGTTATAGGTCGATAATCTCAAAATGGCATACTGACAAAAAAAAATTAATAATAATAATAATAATTCAGATTTTCCCTGTGTTTATGCTTTGTAAATTAATTACACAGCTATAATTTTTATTTATACAATTGATTTGCTAAACTAAATATGTATCTGTTGCATACAGTTAAATATTGTCATTGCTATAAGCAGAAAATGATTTGAGACAGCCTGTAGAACTAGATCTGCTGGCTAAGTTATGAACAGGACTGTAGTTGGATCCACAGTGACCTACAGATTGTCTGTTTTGCAAGATGCACATGATTTTCCATCTTTTAACATGTCATCTGCACTGGTACGTCTCAGAACAGGGAGACGGGTTGTTGTCTGTCAAACACTGCTCTCTGGAGACCGTCTCTCAAATCACAAACAAACAGGCACACAGGCCTTGCTTACGTGCTCTAGCTAGGGAATCTTGATCCAGAGGAGCTTCAACTCATGTATTCATGTGTTTGTGCTGCGTACATGCATTGTTATTAAAAGATGTGGTTGTAACTCAAACTCACTTTTGAGCGTGCGAATGAATGCTGTAGAAGTGTGTGTTTGTGTGTGTGTGTGTGTGTGTGTGCGCGCGCTCATGGCTCAGGTTCATTGCTTATGTGTTGTTCTGTTCTTGTCTCCATTCATGCTTTAAACCAGACTACCTCTCAAACGCAGTGGAAGGTAAAGAACTCTGCATCCATCCCACAGCCCTCCAGTGTGTATGAGTGTGTGTGTGTCCCGTTCACAGCCCCCTACAGTGGTGTTTTTATCCTTCAGTAACTTTTTTTCCACTGTGCCCTACTTGCATGCCCACCTGTGCTCACACATCTGTACCCAACACCCCGAACACATACATGGCAATGTTACTGTGTTTCCTTCCTCCCACTATACGGAAAAATATTGCACATATTCTGATTTCTGTCACATTTAATGCTTAAAGCATTTTAATAGAGTAAAATGTCCTCCGCTTGTACCCAGAGGAGGCTGTTATTGCTCTGAGGTTGCTCAAGTGTAGCTCAGAAAACTTAGTGGAGCTTCATTTAAGTGTTAACTTTGTCTCAGATGTTTCTACTAAAATAGCTTCTGAGAAATACAAATAGACATGCATTGCATGATTATTTGCGTGTAGTATGAGTAAAGCGTTATATAATTATGCGACTGGAAGAGCTCAGATCATTTGGTCTTGAAAGAATTTGAATGGAACATGTTGTTGTGATTATTATTGCTCAGATGCTGCCTTTTATTGCAGTACTTGAGTCTTAATAAATGTCCTAGTTATGCTGCATTTAAATATTAGCTTTGTCTCAGATGTTTCCTCTAAAATTCCTTGTGAGAAATATAGATAGAGATGAGATTAGATAAATATTTGTGTACAGTATGTGAGTAAAAAGTTATATATTTATGCCGCTGGCAGAGTTCAGATCATTTGGTCTTGAAGAATTTGAATGGATATTATTATTATTATTACTATTATTGCTCTTTTGCATTAATGAGACTATCTGAAGGTCCTAGTTATGCCACATTTAAGTATTAATTTTATCTAAAAATGAAAACAAATAAGTCAAAAGTTGACATACAGTAACAGTATAAAACTATAAAATTCATGTGGATTGCATAATTCAGTCGATTTGATTTTGGGTGGATTTGATGAGAAATGTTTGAGATCATATTGAGATCTTTGGTATCTTGACAAATATTAGCTTAGTTTGTGATACTGCTGAGATCTTTTCTGAATGTCTTGAGGAAGCGTTACTAGTCTCTTTCTCCTACTACTAGTTCTAAGAAACAAAATTTGCAAAAGTCTCGGTTACACTTTATTTCGATAGTCCACTTTAGACATTCTATTAACTATAAGTAACTTTGTAACTACATGTCAACTACATGTCAACTAATTCTCATTAATTTGCAACTACATATCTACTAACTCTCAGAGTAGACTGTTAGGGTAGGTATATTATTCAATTATTTATGATAATTTATCACATTATAAAATTGTTTAAATATGAAATGTATTTATTTTTATACATTTTTATTTTAGATACACTACCAGTTAGTTCATTAAATTTGGAGTCAGTCAGATTTTTTTTGCTTTAAATAAATTTCATATGGTCATCATGGCTGCATTTATTTAATCAAAAATATTGTAAACATAGTAATATTGTGAAATAATATTACAATTTATAATAATTGTTTTCCATTTAAATGTATTTTAAAATGTGATTTATTCCTGTGATTGCAAAGTTTAATTTCCTGCAGCCATTTCTTCAGTCTTCAGTTTCACATTTTCATCAATTTAATGCATCCTTGCTAAATAAAATGATCAATTTCTTTAAAAAAAGAAAATGTTACTGACCCCTAACTTTTGAATAGTAATGTATAATACAAGGTGCATCTCAAACTACTGAACTATACTGAGAGATGCCTGCTATTTTTACTGTATGCATGGACATTTCATTCAACTCAAAATGAAATATTCTAATAATTTAAGATACTTTTTTTGAGCTGTAGTCTGTAATTCTCTGCATAAATGCTTAAAACATTTTGATTTACATGAGTCTAGAATATAGTACATTTTCACTTACTGAAATAATTGATGAAAAATATTGAACTTTTGCACAATATTCTAATTTGTTAGATGCACCTGTACATATTTTATATAATATTTTTCAATATTTTATATATTTATTGTGCAAAAAAAAAAACTTAGATGGACATGGTGGGTGTGTATTATGGTAATTGATAACTGCAGGCACATTTTTCCTCATCTAGAATAATCCAGAGATTTTGTGTAAGATCTCAAGAAGTATGCAGCTTGTGTGAGACCCAGTGAGAATGTTGTGTGAGATGTGATTTTGTGCCCCAATCGCATTAGTTCACCTTTGGAGACTCTCACTCCCTGATAAAATCACATTTTGGTGCACAAATGCCTACTAGACCTTGAGGCCTGAATAAACCCACTCATGACTTCAGGTTGATAACCTTTAGCGTGCTCATGTGGGAATGTTTTGATGGTCCTTTGCCTCATACAGATGTGAAATGCAGTTTAACTACGTGGCTTCAGTTCATTGGAGCTTACTAACTTCAGCCTTGCTTTGAGGTCGCAGATGATAAACGGATAAGGGCTGCAAATGTATCCCCCTCACGGGGCTCTGACCTGCTACTGAGGAATTATATTTTTAGTGTAGCATTTTTAGGGCAGATTGAGGGTAAAGTCACATCTCAAGCTCGATAAGTGATTGATACATTTGTATAAAACCAAAGGTAAGAGCATATGTTTTTACCCAACAGCTTCTGGTGCTAAGTTACATTATAAAGGATCTGAAAACAGGTTACATGATATTTACTGGTATATGCTTTGAAATGATTACATATTTTTAATTTTAGTATGACCATTGAACCAGAACATTTGATATCGCTACTTCTGATTACTCCATACTCAAGTTGAGTACAAGAGTTAAGTAAACATAGACATCAAATTTGGAAGCTCCAGCCAAGGACTTCCAGAATAAATTCTGAGGAGTATAACTGACGTTCACAATAAGCTGTTGTCTGTCGGCTTGTTCAAAGAGACAGTACGTCTAACACTTGATCTCTTTCTGCCTCTCTTACAATGCTGTTTATCTGTTTCTTCTTCACTCTTCATTCTCCGTCTTTACCTTGACTATTTTTTCTCTTCTCTCTCATTCCATTTTCTAACAGAAGAGAATGTTTATGAGGAGATCACGCTCGGTAAACATGAAGCCCACTCATCTCCACCTGTCTTTCCTCTATCCTCTTCATAGATCTATGAGTAGCTATACGAGTATACTCAGTAGATAGTGATAGTCATAGTTATCTGTAGAGCAAAATACACTAGTAAAATCAGCATTGTAGACCAACAAATGCACACTTTGTCTTGTTGTAGAGCTCAGATGAATGTGTGTTGTCTCTCTCTGGCAGAGTCTATCAAAGAAAGTGAAGAGGAAGGTAAATTCATTAGTGTAGAGCTGTGTGCACTGTGCGGCTCCTGCTGGACTCTCTGTAGACTGCTTTAGGTCAGATGGAACCAGTTTGAGACTGCAGACCACCAATAGAATGAAGATCCCTGTAGATCCAGTGCAGTAGGTTACTAGGCTTTAGCAAAAAAGGATGAAATGATGGATGAGGTTTGCTACAGTCTACTAACTCTCAGAGTAGACTGTTAGGGTAGGTTTAGGGTTAGGGTTAACATCCTGACTCACATTCCTGTGCTGGGCAGCAGGTGCATTAGTGGCCGTGAAGTGCCAGGATGCTGGTGGAGATGGAGTTGCTGCTATAATCTGGTGGCACCATGACAGCATGCTGCTTGTGCCAGCTCAGAAACAAACCATATACTGGACACACGACACATCTCTGACGTAACAGCACCATATGTCAAAAAACATTCATATTCCCTGTGCACTTTCTGTTCTTGTAGCACCTCTGTAACCTTACAAAGAGACTAGCAAGCTTGCAGCAGTCTCTCTTTGACTCCCAGCTCCTGATATATTCATAATGCCTGTCTCACTGATGTTCATTAATGTATGAGTCACTGCTGGGAAAACAACATCTCATTTTCAGATTCAGCAACGCTGTCTATGCAGTGGGTCTCATTCGTTAACCTTTCAGTTTTGTACCTTAATGTGTCCTGAATTTAGGTTTATATAAAATGTATTTTTATAAATATATAGTGTGTGTGTGTCCAAATGTCCCTACAAAGATGGTGAAACCCACATTTTAGGAAAACAACTTCATAAAGGCATTGACTTATGTAATATTTCATATGTAAAAATGACAGACAATCAGGGTTCTGGTTTGGGCAAGGTTAGTCTGTAGTAATTATATTTGGCTAAATTAAGATAGCAGATTGTTTGTCCCTAAACAGTGTCAGGTTGAGAGACAGCAATGAAAAAAAAACTATACCGAAAGATAGTCTTTTTGCCTATATTTCCTTCTGAAAATACATTTGCTGATTTGATGAAGACACATTTCTTATTAATATCAATGTTGAAAATAGTTTTTTGCTGTTTAATATTTTTGTGGAAACTGTGAAATCATAATTTTTCCAAAGTTTTGACCAGTAGTTAATATTTGCATTAAATTATAAATTTTTCTAAAATTATATATATATATACATATGTGTGTGTGTGTGTGTGTGTGTGTGTATATATATATATATAGAGAGAGAGAGAGAGAGAGAGAGAGAGATTTTTTGATAAAAAATATTCATATATAAATTTGATTGATTTTTCTGGATTCATGGGTAGTGTATTTCTTCACCTGGAATTTAAAATTTGTATGTTGAATGTTTTTTTTTCTTCTTTTAAATTAAGTTGAAATAACACTGTTTTATTGTTGATTATTAACCTTAGCTTTATATAGAATCATTCAAAATCAATTGCTATGTGTGTAAAAAAAAAAAAAAAAGAGAGAAAGAGAGAGATTTACTTCCAGAACCCAACTGTTTCACATTTTAGCCTGTGTGCTTTAACAGCAAAGAAAAATCATTTCAGAGGAAGGGCATGTTGTATGACATTTTGATTGAAGATTGAAAATAAGATTTAAATAAGAAAGTAAATTTTTGATTTCACTTTGACTGTGATATTTTGTAGGGCATTGTAATGGTATGTAAATATGGTTATATTTATTAATTTTCTGTTTTATGTCCCCATGCTGTTAAATTCATTTCATTCATTCATTTCATTTTTGCCTTTTTCCTTAATGTCATCAGCAGAATCTCCCTATGTAGACCGTTATGTAGAGCATGAAATTAAGGCGGAGGATGGCCATGGTTCTGTGGATGATAAAGGTAATTTTACCCATGTTGCTCAGCTGTATTTTCTTAGAAACAGTAGGTAGAGAAGTACGCTGTAGGTGTAAATTAAAATAGATTTGTTTCTGTTTTTCTATCTGTGATGTGTTTTAATGCTTCTACATCTCTTAATGCTGTCCTGCATGATCTTGAATGCATTCCCTGCTCACTTCATTCCATCGACAACCAGGTAATATTAAAAGATGTATCCTGTTAAGCTCAATCAGAATGTCAACAGTAATTGGAATCAATTTATCGGCACTCAAGAGAGCGAGCAGATAAACACGCTCACTGGTCTTACGGGTGTTGTTGTTTAACATTAGTGGGCGTCGATGCATGCGATAGTCTTACAGCGTAACGGAAACGTGGCTGTCGCACACATTATGTCGTTAATATTCTACGAGCATTGGGAGTGTCCCACAGCCATTAATCATGTTTGTGAATATCTAATCTGGCTGTTATTTGCAGCAATTCCATTTTCATGCCTGTCTTAAAGATTAATAAGTAGAGGTGTACAAGACTAGAGCATGCTGGGAAAACATGAGCTCACATTGATAATCTACTTTGTGACAAAGTCATGGCTGGTTCAATCAAAGACCATGTGACAGTATCATTTTAGAGTTCAAAGTCTGTAGGTTGTGCTTCTCCACTAGTTTTGGGACGGTGTTGTCATGTGGCCAGTTTCCCCCGAAAGAGCTCTATTACTTTTTAAAGCAGCTTAATAGAATTGGTATTTGAAGAGGCCACTAGTTCCTAGTATTTGTCAAGAAGTTTGTGTTGCTGTGCTTAAAGTGAACATTTATAAACAGCCACTTGTCCTGGCGGCCCGCGGGCAAGGTCTAGCGCTTTCCGTGCCAAGAGCACCATCTCTTGCTTTTCGCGGTTGGTACGTAACTGTGTTGAAGGCAGCTGTAGTTATTCGGGAAACAAGAGCACATCTGCCTGTCTCTTAGCAACAGGTGTCTGTGCTTCAGTATGGTATGTGCGCTTGCCAAATGATGTGGCATTTCACTGTCAAAGTTTAACTCTCAGTGATATGAAAATATTTGTGTTCGCTCGAACTCTGCCAAGTCGTGTGGTGTAGACACAGTGACCTAAATAAATACCCACAATGCACTGACGCTCTGGGCGATGCATGTTCGACACAGTGTAATCGCTCTCAAATGTGCCAGATGTATAAAATATCATTTCCCATGCATGCAATGTATGCATAAAAATATGACCCAGTTCTGCATCCAAAAGCAGTCAGGAAACGATTCCGCCATCTGAAATGTGATTTAAAGTGTGCATAAATACAGATGTTTGCAAGCTGGAGTAGCCTTAATTTATGTTTTGCAAGGTCATGTCGCAGATGATGCTCAAATCAAGCGGCGGTTTTGGATTTATGTTTGTCCGTGTGTGTTTTTTATAGATGTTTTATGGTGTTTGACAGTGTAATGAATGGTGGTTTTGATGTAGGTTCGTATTGTCCCGTTGCAGCTGTAGGGAGCCCATCTCATCAACCCGCTTATGGCTGTAAGAGGCTTTCTGCTGACTCATGCCTGTGTATCATAGGGCCTGTGCATTTGTGCTGACTCACTCACAACTTTTATTAAGGTGACAGAGTAGAACATATGTTGCTTTATTATGGTGTAGATACACTGAGTCTGAACATCTGCACTTTCACACTCACTCAAAGCTTTAGGCTATGTACCAGTCAACTAATAGTGCAGCTTCACAAGGTATTTGGCCATCGTAACTAAGATTAGAAAATATACATATGTTTATGATGACATAAAATAGAGTAAATGCATGTGTATATAGATAGATCTAGATCTAGATATAAAAATATTTTTTGGCTTTAGTATATGCCCGATTTTTGCCCCTGATAGAGTGTTTTCTGTCAGACTAAGAGATGACGCAATAAAGCCTGATGAAGAATACAGAACATGCAGACACTAAGACTGCTGCTTTCTGTGTGTTTGTGTTTGTGTGAGTGTGTGTGTGCGTGTGCGTGTGCGTGCGTGCGTGCGTGTGTGTGTGTGTGTGTGCGTGTGTGTGTGTGTGTGTGTGTGTGTGTGTGTGAGCTTGTCCTTCTGGCAATTTGAAAGACTTCTTTAGCCTTCTGAGTCAATTAAATTGGAGCTGCATAACAAACACACACATATTTGTGTGTTCCTCCTGCAATACCAATAAAATGTGGGAATATCTGTTGTTAGCTGATTTGTTTATTCATTGACTTCTCAGTATGAACATCTGCGTTACTTGCTCAGTATGACTATTGCAACTTTGTCAAAACAGCAAGCTCTAATCTGATTGGCTGGCTTTCTGTAGTTTCTGAATGCACATAGTTTTATCCATCTGACTTTTGTTTAGTAGCAAGTAAACAGGGTATCTTTAAATGCACCTGGATACTCTGCTTTGTACTTTAAACTGTGATTGGATTACATTATGGAAATGTCCGCCTCCCGTCTAAGTGGGTGATTCTTGGCCAGAATAAGCTGCACTGTGAACTGTATTTGTTGCTGATAATCAAAAGTTTGGCTATGAGAGTTACTATAAGTGACTACATGGTAGTTATCTCTGAAAATAATTTCAAATGTCAGTTTTTATATCTGAGACACTGATCAGTGCTGGTGTTTGTACTTGTGTTATGTCTGCTTATAATGAGTCAACGTTTCGCTTACATCAGCTTGCGCTTGTTTGCATGTGATATCTTTGATCCCAAGGTTAATGCGCCACTCGGTGCATTTTGACTTTTCTGTCACAGCTGACCACCTCTATTCTTTCTCTGTCACCTTTACCTTACCCCAAACTTTTGCCCCCCACCATCCACACCACCTGTCACACACACACACACACACACACATTCATCTTTCCTAACACACAATAGCCTTCTGCTTGTGGCATGTTGTATATGCACTCTGTCCTTCTCTCTTAACTATGATTCACTCACACTTTGAGGGTGTTTAATTAGAAGTTTTATCTTGTGAACAGCATCTTGTGTGTTTTTTTTAAAAGACCTTTATTTAAAGAAATCTTTACCAAAAAAAAAACAGTTTTCCCCCTTCTTTTTTCTTTTTTGGAATATAAGCATTCAATTTAGCATGTAGACAAACATTATTCACAACGAAAGGCCGCAAAAACAGCTCATTCTGAATGTTTATGTTTGTGACATACATAAATTGTACCTTAAAATAATTGACTTACCTTATACAGCTTTATTTATTTATTTGTTCATTTATTTATTTATTTATAATTTTTCTGTAACTTAAAAAAAAATTATTTAGTTATATTTTATTTTATATTTCATGTTTTGTTTTAATCAATTTTTTATTTTGTTTTATCCAATTTTTTATTTTATTAAGTCCCATCTAACATTTTTCTCAGTGAATATCCCGTATCATTTGAAAATGTCTTGACATGCAAGAAAAAAATAAATAAATCGTGCGCACAATTTACTAATTCGTTCTCTCGATTTATAAATCATGTGCAAGATTTAGCAAATGGAGGGAAAAAATAAGTAAATTGTGCGCACAATTTATAAATCAAGGGTACGAAATAATAAATCGTGCGCACGATTTAGCCTACTATTTTTTTCCTGCATGCCATGTGCGGGGCTCCGTATAAAACTGATTGTAAACACAGTCGACTTGTTGACTTTTAAGATGCAATTGCATGTTTAGTTGGAAAGTGTAGAAAACTGTCAAGTAAAACTAATTAGTGTGTTTAATTATTACATTTAAGACCTTCTTTAATATTAAAAGTGGGCAGAAATATGACAGAATATAGTAGAATATACTTTTAAAATCCAGTTTACCTTTATATCCAATAAAAATAGTATAACAGGTAACACGTGCTGGGTCTTTCTCCCATCCCTTTATGATTACACACACGTTAATGATGTTGATATGATATTGCAACAGGCTTCTGGAACAAGGCTGTGTTGTTGTTTCTGAATGGTTAGAGCTCATGTGAAGGCCCATTGTTCCCAAGGGCAGTCTGAACACACCAACAAAACGCCATCGATCAGGAGCCCATTATTGATGTTCTGATAGCTAGGGACTGATCAATAGATTGAAGCAGTGTGTGTGTGTGATGGGGCAGAGAGGGGCTTCCTCTGTCACTGCTGCTGCTGACTGCAGACTTCCACCTCCACCACAGAAACAATCCTGACGGTGATGGAGTCCCTCCATAAACAATCTGTTGTTTGCTGACCTGAACCTGGGAAAGCTGTGCTGACAGTGAATGCGAATGAGAAATAGTTCACCCAAAAATGGAAATTCAATCAGTATTTATTCCCCCTCACGTTGTTTTAAATCTGTATGAGTTTTTCTTCTGTATGTAACACAACAGGTAACTTTTTGAAGAGTATCCTGACCTCGCTTCAAATGAAAGTGAATGCAGATTGGGGTTGTCAGGATTCAAATCCGATGCAATAGCACCATAAAAGTATCGTTAAAAACAGTCCAATGATTCACAAATTATATTTCAGTTAATCTGAAGCCGTACAATAGTGTGGTAAACAGACCCAAAAAATGTTTGTCATTAATTGCTGAAAATCTTAACCACTGTGACTGGATCTAGATCATTCGATTTGTGAAAATATAAGAGTGTTTTTTATTAAATGGATCAACAAATTCAATAAAAAGAATTTACCTCAGAAGATAGGAAGTCATACAAATTTGAAATAAAAGAGTAAGTAAAACAACAATATATTATTAATAATAATAATAATAAATATTTAAATATGTAATATATGAGTGATAATGCAAATGTAAATATATATTGTAACACTTAAAATATGTATATTCAAAAATTTTGTTTTTTTATTTATTATTATTATTAACATTATTACATTGTAGTATAGCCAAGTTAATGCAAGAACAGTCAGTGAAAAATTTAAGGGGGTCTGAATACTTTCCGTACCCACTGTATATATAACTGTGTATTAAAATAGATAGTGTTTCTAATCTTTTAAACAAAATTTTTTGGTGAGTGTGTGTGTTTGATATAAA